ACAAAAGTATGGCTACAACACTAGCGGCACCTAAGTCCGTCAATCGCGGTAAATTTGAATAAACATAAGTCGCATAAACTACTAAATAAAATAAAAAGTTCTAAAAGAAATAAAATATATCTTAGTAAAGAGTAACGCTCGATATTACGGTACGGTAAAGGCAATGCAATCGCACGATTCATCCTCATCGTTAGAATTGTATCACTTTATTACGGCGGATCTCATTAAAGTCGTAATTTTTACTCGTATTTTTTATATTCCTCCGAGAAGTTTGTAAAGATCATAAGCTCAATTGGAATTTATAACGATCGTGCTTACGTATCGCATTTTACGCAAATCTTCATGAAATATTTCTGCATATGTCAAATAAATCGATTGTTTATTTAAATATAACATTTGTACGACATCGATGTTTGTCGATTGGTGATAAATAACGAATGATGACATTTTTATCAAGACTTTTACAAAAAATACAGAAGAACAATATAGACAAATACGTTTGCATTGAATATCGTATTTAAATGTGGATTCTCTTAGGATTTCGTGAAATGCAGTATTATTGCATTCTGTCACGCTACATGAAAGTTACAATCTATATCACCGTAATTAATTGAATTACCTAACTTTGAAATGATTGTCATATTTACATTTTATGAAAATTAATTGTTTAATCAATTGAAGTAATTCGCAAATTTTAATTGCGAGCAATCATGTATGAATTTGTTAACAATGTATGGTGGTAACATAAATAAATATTCTCAACGCGTATTTACAAAAACTTATTTCAACATTTTCCAGTGTGCTCAAGAGACAATCAGAATTACTGTATTTACGAATATTTGATCAAAGAGTAGATCTCTCTCTCTCTCTCTCTCTCTCTCTCTCTCTCTCTCTCTCTCTCTCATTATTGATCCAGCGACGCTTACCTGTGTCGCCCAGGAAATCGGTGATGAGCAGGGTCTCGTCGTCTAAAGCAGTGACGAGACTGTCCGTGCATGTGTTGGTGTTCTCGATGCTGATCTTGATGCTGTCATCTTTGTTGAGCCGTGGATGATTGTTCGCGGCGGGGTTGTTACCGGCGTGGCAGTTGTTGTTGCCGACTTGCTGGTGATGGGGAGAGCGCACGGATTCGGTGCTGCTGGTGTGCAAACTCACTCCCGTGGTCGCTCTTCCGTTCACCAGCCGTAGGCTTGGTGCCCGACGACCGCCGCCGCCTCCACCACCGCCACCGGAGCCGGTCACAGAACGACCGCCACCGCCGCCGCCGCCGCCACCGCCGCCCTCGCCCTCCCTGTAACAAATTGTACATTACATAAGTGTTCTCTTTTCTCTATCTTTTCTCTCTGTAATAAACACAAGTTATACTATACCGTATACTCTGGATAGAGTTCACGAATTTTCATAGAAGTTACTTCGTCTTTTTTTAATTATATAGCATAGGATGTAGCGATTTTTTATCTCTTGTATATACTTGTATTTTTGGAAAGGACATAAAAAATGAATTTTTTAACAAGCGAAAATTTTAAAATAAATATCTATTTCTGTAAAAAAAATATTTTTTCATTTTTTTATTTTATTTCAAATAACGATCGGTTTATTACGATCACATTAAAATTGTCATTGAGACAGCACAGCGTGTGTCTTCAAGTGAACGCGAAGAAGTGGTATATACTATTATCGAATCTCGGCTTAAGAGACTGAGACCTGAAGTAAAAAAAGATTTTCAACAATAAATCATAATTATCTTTAAGAAACAATTGTTATGAACCATAATAAACCGATCGTTAATTGAAATAAAATAAAAAATGAAAGAAAGGGCTTTTTTGATTTTTTTAACAGAAATAAATATTTATTTTAAAATTTTGCGCTTGTGTGTGTGTCTCATTAAAATTCATCATTTTTTATACCCTTTCCAAAAATATATGTACAACAGAGGGTAAAAAAATTGTTCTCTCTTATACAGAATTTTTAGTTCGGGAGGATTGCGGAGAGTTTATAACAAAGGATTATTCTTCTTTAATACTCTTAAGACTTCCACGAACACTTTCTGTACAGAAATTACATATGTAGGTTATCTCCATGTCTATATCGTAGCATTTTAAGAATGGATTTAGGCACGGAGATAACCCGTGAAACGCATAATTTCTGTATTATTCTTTTTTTATTAAAAATTTGAAATAACATATATATATATATTTTTTGTAAATTTTAAAAAAGAAGGTTACAAATATATTGCAGAAGTAATGTTACTATAAAGAATACATGAAAGCTATCAAAGAAAAATTGGAATTGGAGCAACAACGCGGCACGTCGTAATACCGCGTGAAGTGGTTTTTCACTATCTGCGCATACATATTATTATGGAAATATTCGCTGCGACATTTCGTTGTGTAGTATAGCGATTCGATACAATAGATACCGCGACGCATACTTTATATATTTTCCAAGAAATCTTACAAGAATATATTAAAATATGAAATTTTGTAAAACTAAGTTTCGAAATGTAAGTAAAAGAATATTTGCAATTTCAAGGTTTTAATTATTTAACTCGTTTTACTTAAGACCAATCTATTTACGAACTGTGTTCCTTATCGAATATGCTGTATATACTGAAATCATCTAATGTTATTTATTAGTTATTAACTAAAGATAATATTTGGTGAAGTTCAATAGCTTTTCATTTTAAAGTAAGAGACATTCTAACGAGATTTTTCTACAAAATATATCGTAAATTTTTCTGTAATATATTACACATATATCTCGAAAATAGACGTTTGGGAGAAAGTTAGAAAGATGTAATGGTCAATTACGCGTGACGTCGATCGCCGCTGGTATCGACAGCTCGTTCGACGTGACATTTGATACAGTAATACTGATAATGCGTTTTCTCGTCGTCATGATGTAGTATATTCAGTTCACCGCGAAATATCTCGGCGCTTCGGTACAAAATCACGAACAGTAATAAATATTTTCTCTCGCATACGCGCGGTTGTGTGAAAGCACTGTACATCAGCGGAGGATTTTCACTATTGGCATGCAAGCCGACGCTGCTCGTTCTTGCGGCATACTAACAAATATCGATATCGTAAATTTAAACGCGCGGGCATGACTGCAGCGAAAGTGCAATGTTATCGCACTCTCACACTTTACGCACATGACATAAATCAAATTTGTTCACATGCCTCGGGGTCAAATTGTATTATCGAAATTGTTAGGAACCACAGCTGATGGGCATAGCAGGCAATCTGCGTCCGTGTAACTTCGTCAATTCCTATCACGTTCCGTAAGGCATACAAAATCAATTGATCATTAAACAGTCATTGCTAGATCGATTATCTTTACTTGCCCAACGTTTGAAACGTTTTAGAACATTGGACATATAAAAATTTATTTCTTAAAATAATCTCAAAAGCTATGAAATGATTCCACGATTAATAGATTGACGCTTTGTAATCTTTCTATAATTATTAAACTGATTTTTTTTGTGTAAAATTGAGGTCTTAAATTGCATAATTGGGTAAATATTTATACACACACATATTTAGATATTTTTTCTTTGACTCTATGTTACTTTTTTAAAATTATCTTAAAAATGAAAATTAAAAATCACATAAAAGTGAAACATAATAATAGTTAAAATAAATTTTGC